GCAGAGTCATTTGTTTAATTTTGGGTCGCACATCAACAGCTGCTCGTATCACCTCTAGCGTGTCTATAGTTGTACTCGACAGTGCTTTTCCCTCAAGTTTGTTGTTTCCACCTTTAGCAGTTTAATTTTCCTGATGAAACTTGACACAAAATTTCTGTCATGCAGAAATTTTTTACAGGATGTTATCGTGGGTGGTAAAAAACAACAAAAAGCTGTAGCAATATGTAGTTATAAATTTTTTTATTTGTTTGTTTTTATGTGTATTTTATTTTTAAAGTGTAAATTTGCTAAAAGGATTAATAGAGTGACAGGATATATTAGCTAATATGTAGCTGTTGTGTTTCCGAAAACTAAAAAACCAAAACCAAAAATAAGAGTGAGGACTGATGAGGGGTCGGTTAGCTTAGCTTGTAATAGACTGATGGAAACCTTAAGAGCAATATGCAAGTTTTCTAATGAAACTTCAACCTCATCTTAGGCTGAGGCTAATTTTAGCCACGTGAAGCTGCAGATTTCATCTTTGGTCCCAAGTGGCAGCAAAATTTCAGCTCAACCAACTTGTTGGAATGTTTAATGGTTCAAACACAGAGTGAAATGAAAAGAGCCAGCCAAATGAAGAGCTAGTTAAAGTCACTCCAGTTTGATGAAGAGCTTATCTTCACATTATAGGACAGAGATCCAGAGTTGAATAACTGCAGCATGCACTGGCACCTTTAGTTGAGCTACAGCCTCGACTGGTCCACGTTTTATGTCCCACGTATATTCTGCCTCGGATGGTGCACGAAATCAGGACACGTGTAGGCATTAGCTGCATCACTGGTGCATGAACACAAAGTCAGACTTATTGCAGCAGTCACAGGCAAAGCCTGGATGTGGCTTGTCTATTAGACTTCCAGTGTTAATAATTGCATCACGTACAATGAAACATATTTCACTGCTGCCAAATCTATAATTACCATTATGAGAAATCTGTCCGTGCATCCAACGCCTGCAGATTTTATGGGTCTGCCACTGCTCCTCTGTTCTTCAATAATACAATATATCAGAGTTTAGTTATGGTTGCTGCACGGGGTTGAATGCTGATTAGTGGAGCAAGCAAGGGAATGAATACGTTTAACATTTACCTCAAATTATTCTCTCCTAATGCGTTACAAACGTTCAACTTAGCAATTCTTTGGGAAGTAGCTCATGATTTAATGTTTTTGCTTTGGAATGAGTTACAGCTGCGTGGAGGTAATTTATAATGAAGGCAAGTGATGAAAGATAACTGAGTAAAAGTGCAAGATCATTAATGCTGCTTATTGATCATGCAGGGTGTAATTATGACAAATGAGGGTCAACTGAGGCCAGATGAAGGCAAAAGTGGAAATGCAGGCAAGTGTTGCCACCAGAATACTAAATTAGACTTGAGAGGCTGTGTTCATATCACTTCAGGGGGCTTATCAAAGATCACTGAGCCATGCAAACCTCCATTAATGGCACAATGACAATACTTTGAATCTTTTTGAAAGCTTTATATGAATTCCATTATAAATACAGTGCTGGGAAAAAGTCTTCAGCCATCCTTCTTTGTGTTTTGCTTGGAAAACTGGGAAATAGGTGCAATAATGCATTGAAACATATGAACATACATGGAAATACAGTATAAAAGGCATAAATGGAGTAAAATTATACCAGAGGGCCAGCTCCTGATTGATAGAGCAGTACACCAGAACTCTACGATCGGGCAGACACGAGAACTGTCTGGAAAGACCACAGGAAAGCCTGTAAGTCAATGCTCCACACATGGTTACTGGAGTGCTTTTCACTGCACTGATGACATTTGTCTAGAAGTGACTGGAGGCCAACTTTTAACACACGAGTGCAGACTACACAAAGATGATGACTGTTCCTGCTGCTGCTCTGCATATCGCTCAGCTCAACACTAAAAGTAGATGTGAATATAGATTATGGAGTGGAGTGACCATCAGTCACCTCCGGTGCATGGATGACATCAAGCTGTATGCCACGAATGAGCGAGACATCGACTCGCTGATCGTTTAGCATCCGCAAATACGTCAGGAAGATTGCCCCCTGAGATGAGCTACTCCAAGAATCCCCCAGGCAGCTGAAGACAGATGGTGATGAGGGACAGGACAACGATCATGGACAACTAAGTATCCGTATGAGATGTACCATCGACAGACAGAGGAAATGACTGGCATCCAGAAATCCTACCAGTGTCTAGAAAAGGCTGGCTTAAAGGACAGATCATGGCAGCACCACAACAGGACCGAATACGCAGGTCCATAGAGGCAGGAGTCTACCACAGCTGACAGGATCTAAGTTGCAGACTATGCACAGGTCCCCCATTTAGAATAAATGAAGAATATAAGCTGCAATCTGAGACTGTGTAAGCTGAGGGGGACAACACAGTGTGGAGAAACGACAACATATGGACTAGAAATCTGAAAGCCTTGAGATAGCAGCCGACCAAAGGTGGTTGAGAACAACACAGCTAAGGTCTTGTGGAACTGTGATTTCTAAAAAGGACAAGCAGCTGCTGGCTAATCAGCAAGACGTGGTGGCTGACAAGGAACAGAAGACTGCAGTTCTGATAGATGTGACAGGAACAGCAGGAAGAAGGGGAACGAAAAAATCAAGAACTACCAGAGGCTGAAGAAACAACTCGAGGAGATCTGGACGAGTCCAAAGTGGTCTTGGTGGTAACAGGAGCTTTCCGATCTATAACCATGAAACCAGGAGAGTGGCTTGAACAGATTCCAGACGCAACTTTTGATGCTCTCGCCGATCCACGGCATGGCTCGCATTTGTGTCCTCAATCCAGCATCATACACAGTGGTTGGTATGTAATGCACTCTGCAGAAGTACAACAGTGATCTCCTAAACATACTGGCCTTGCACATCTAATATATTTAAAAAAATGTTTTTGACATAAGAAGTGTTTTTGTTAATCGGACTTTAAGAAGATTAAGATTAATCTTCATTAATCTTATATTATTCAAATATAATGTTAGCAAACCACAAATCAGCCACAGATGATCTGATTTCACTGCCAGCTTACATCAGCTGATACTCTACACGTCCAACTGGCAAAGCTCATGGAAAGTTGCTGCACTTGTTCAAGCTGCTTTGCAACCCCCCTCCAATGAAAGCGTCCTGACTGAAACATAATTTTCCTTACAATGAGCTTTCAAAGGAGCTTGGAAAGAAAAGAGACTGGATGAGCATTAGACTCGTGGGAATTGATAGGATGAGTTGATTTAGTAAGTATATAATTAAATTAGTCAACAGTAATTTAGGTATCAGGTTAAACTGTCTATATAATTATCATCCAACATTTATAAGCCACATTATTCTAAATATTACAGCTTTTTCTGCTGTTCAGTCAAAACCTTTTTTCTTTCTCTTTGTGATATTGTATAGTCTTGAATATAAACACATGTTGATTGATTTTCTGTTGGGCGATCATCAATCCATCATTCATTTTGATCTCAAAATTCTCAGTTCAATCACATAATTGATTTTTTTTAACAGCGTAAAGTAAATCAGGGCTCTTCCTCTTCACTTGGCTATATTTTATATGAAAACAGGTTGCATGGTGTGGGCCGGGCTAATTGGGCTTGGTGGGCTTGATTTAATGATTTCATTTTTTTTCTTTTTTTTGAGTGCTTAGAAGTCATCGCATATGTACATATAGCACAGTAAGGTGCTTTTCAGATCCTCCCAACTCCTGTTGTAAATGAGCCCATCTTTCTTCCTGGTCAGCAGCAAACTGTGGCTCATTAAAAGGAAACAGAGAGACTAGAGAATCCAGGCTGATGGTAATAATGAATAGAAAAAGAAAAGCAGCAGCCGTAGCCTCCAGGCAGGATTACAACACAGAAAAATCACAACCAGGAAATGAAGACGTCTGCTGTTCCACTGCGGGCAGATGGCATATACGTGTGCCGTAAATATTCTGTGCATGTTTCTGTCTGTGTGAATCAAGGTCTGTGTGAAGTCACTCAGGAAGAAAAAAGGAGGCAAGAAAAAATGAAAATGGCTCCAGGGCTGGAAAAGTGAACATAATGTGAAAGAGCCTTAACTCACTTACCAATCACAGTGAACGCACGATGGATAGCCCTCGACCTAGAAACACAGTCAGACCAAGAATCATAAAATACAACGAATTTATTTTTCAGTAAGATCCAGAATGACTGACTGAGTCCATAAACAGCAGAAACGTCATTAAAGAGACCCAGACGAAAAATGATATTCTTATAGGCTACAGGACCAGAAGGTTTTTGAGGTCCAACTCTGATGTTGAATAGTCAGGCCTGGCTAGCCGTCAGTTCTTCTAAAGAAAAATGTTGGATTGTTCCTTCTGTGCAAAACTGAGGTAACTATTTTCCTTTGGCACAGAGGCCTTTTGTTTCTTCAGATTATTGCCACAGAGTTACAAGCATGCGATTGTCTAAAAATCACCTCATTCAAAAATGGTAGGCTTGCAAGATGCACATCAAGGGTGCTGCTATACTCACTACTGGACTACATTTGAGGTGCGTTTGGATCAGCAGCCATTGTCAACTCCAGAAACTCAGCCACACCACCAGGATCGACTGTCTCGGGCACAGCTGCTGTAAATATTTCAGATAGGAGAGGCTCCACTCTCCGACCATAAACTACACCTGTGACGAAATATCATCATTTCTTTTTTTCTCATCTTTTTCCTTGAGAAATACTCAAGTCTCAATTTTATAACTTTAGGCGCAAATGAAATGCTTGGACTGAGCTCCAACATCATCACCATCCTGCTGTTTTGCATACTAACAACTGCTGCTCATCAGTTTAACTCAGCCGGTGTCTTCCTGCACTGCCTTTCCTAGCATGTGGAATTATGTCAATACAGCATGTGTGAGCTTTTGTGGAGTATTGTCGATTAGATCAGTCACACAACAGATGTCAGAGATCCTACTTCTGCTAACAATATGCTTAAATCTGTGTGTGTCTCTCTCCAGTGGAGCTAAAGGAGCATCTGCAGAACTTTGTGGATGAGACCAATGCTCAGCACGGCCCGGGGTTCATCAAGGTGGTCCGCCATGATAAGCAGGAAGGACTGATCAGGTCCAGAGTGAGCGGCTGGAGGGCAGCTTCTGCCCCTGTTGTCGCTTTGTTCGACGCACACGTGGAGTTCAACACTGGATGGTGAGCAGCTTTTTTCACTTAAAGCAAGCTCCGTGCAGCTGCTGGCTCACGCTGGCAGCGAGTGTAGTTTTAAGGACATTTGCAGCCAAAGACATTGTGAGGTCCACAAGAGAACCAGATTGTCTCAGCATATAGCACAGGGCCGATGCTAATGGCATATAAATAGCAATAACAACTTTTCAGAATCTCCTCTAAAGAAAGGGATCATGCAGGTGCATTTGCAACACCAGATTTGCACCAATTCAAGCTGAAAATAGTTCCCAACAAATGGACAGTTTACTCCTGCTTTCAAAACTCCACAATGGCTACAAGCTGAAGAAAACAATACGAGTATATAACCATAAGGCATATGGATTTGAAAAATAACGCCACTGAGAAAGGTGGAGACTGCACTCCCTTGATTTGTAGCTTTACTGCAGAAATCAACATGTTCACAGGTTTTATGTCTCCACAGCTAATTTAACCCTTCATAACAGTGTAAACTGGTGTAAACCATAAGTGTATTACAAGCCCAGCCACCCAGCATCATGAACCCTGTTCATTTCAGGTGTTGTCAGGATGGTGTACAAAAGGGTGGCACCTGAAGCTGGAGAAAGAACCCGACACCACCACTGCAGGCCCCGCTAACACCTATAAAGCCTCAAGTCATAATGAGACTCAAATGACTTCTCTTAAAATGTTAATAGGTCCACTCATCGCTTTAATCACACTCTCAGTCCTGATATATGGTGCATGGAGAAACTGAACACTTAATAGATCCTCCTTTTCTTAACTACGTTTAAATTTAGAACACCGGACCACACAACACTGGGGACATCAATCTAAAAGTACTGTAGCAAAATTTAAATAATTATTGCCTTCAGTAACATATGACCAGCTACTCGTACTCCATGCTTTGCTTCCACAGTGAAGTGTGTTAGTTAGTGGTGCTGCAGGCTTAAAGCAATCAATCAGACAGGTTTGTCTCTCTGACAGAATTCACAAAGGTAACACGTGAACTGGAAACGGCGTTTTACGTAGTTTCTTACTGTATCAAAGAAGCCCACTGTGAAGCCGAGACATCTTATAATGCGTCATCGACGGAGGAAAACAGGATTAACCTCTGAGCCCTGGATTTCTCCATGAATTTCTTTAAAATTTAATGTGAAACATTAGAGAAAAAGAAATCATAGCTTCCCCACACATGTCACAGATATGTCACTGCTCGATTCTCTCCACCTTCATCCAACATGTCCATTAGACCCTCTCCCTACAAGTCTCAGCATTAAATAATGCTTTGATTTTAAATATCATCAACTTATCACTGTTAAGATTATTCAGACCACGGGCCTGTACCTGTGAGGAACCCCTTAACACACAGATGAAGCAAATATCCCAGACTGCCTTCTTTCATGTCGGATCATTAGTTAGAGTTGTCTCTGTAATATCGTAGAGTCTTTACTTTGCAATGTAAAGCACCTTGAGGCAACTCTTACTGTGAATTGGTGCTATATAAAAACAATTAAACTGCACTGATTGCACCAGTGTAAACTAAAGAGAATATTATAGGTAATTCCCAGAAAGAAGGCATATTTTTCCTTCTTTTTTTGCAGCAGCGGTTGAAGAATTTCAGCACACAATGGAAGAAATAATCTATTTATAAGCTGATTCATGACGGGATCGCTGCATTCCTCCGTCACTCTGACTGCTATAACAAACTTGTGGTGCTGTAACCCATATTCATCAGTCAGACAGGTGCAAACCTTCAGTTCCAGAGAGCCACAGAGGCTCTGACATATTTATTTGAATTTTAGGCCACAAAGTTAATCGTGTGAAAGGCTGGCAGTGAGGTGATTTAATTCCAAAGACCCGGGTGGATAAAAGAGATGAAGTGGTTGAGGTATTCTGCTAAATAAAGGGGTGCTTAATTAAACCTGCAGCGCTCTGATTACGCACTTTGTCTTTGCTCCGATCAACAAAGAAACACATCTGCAGTGACTACATCACAGAATCACTTAATCCAAGTAGAAATAAGAATCTGCTCAGTGAAACCTGAACTAAATTCTGCTGCGTGAATGTTAACGATAATATCTTTGCTGTGAATATCGACACAACAACGCGCCAGAAAACAAAATAAATAAAGTTAGATTTTTAGCATTTCATACTTTCTTCTTGTAGGCTTTAATAAAAGGTCATTGTGAAAGGAATAATCCTCATGCAGGCTGACATTAAACCAAGACACCTTAAAAGGAATTATAGCAACAACCACAAAGTAAAGGCGTCTGAGGTAGTGGCTCGTCTGCGTGCTCATTCTTGGAAACGTGTTTTTTCTGACAGTGTCGAAGGAAACAAATATTTGCCACAATCATCTTCGTGATGAAAAGGAGAGATCGGTATTTGCATTGTGAAATCTGATTGGTCACATCCCTTCAAAGGAACTCTGAGTCTGAATGCATGTGCAGCTTTTTACGCCTCAGTCTGAAGGCTGACAGGGGGGTTGTTGTCACGGAGAGTGGGCGGGCATCTGTGAACACGATAACGCGAGAAAAAAGGCAACCTAGGATTGTCGAAATGGTACCGCACAGACGTTTTGCACCTTACTGTCAAGTTCAGACGTCACGTTTACTGAATGCAGGTTAATCACATGAATACTATCGTGACAGGACATGTTGTGATTAAGAGATTGTAAAGGTTGTCCTGCAGATTAACTTTAACTTCAGCAATTAGGATCTGATGCTTTTTAGAAAACAAACAGTTGTCTTACTTTGTGTCAGTTTAGAAACATAAAATCCTTTAACTTGTGAGCAGCGTTTGTTGTTTACACTGAAACACCATCTGACCGGCGACATCGAGTGCTGAGACATCTCTGTTCAGTCGTTTCAGTTTGAACCCGAGCGTAACAACATTACAGACATTACTCAAACTGTACATCAAAGAGAAGATCATCACATGAGAGAGTGATGTGTGTGTGTGTGTGTGTGTGTGTGTGTGTGTGTGTGTGTGTGTGTGTGTGTGTGTGTGTGTGTGTGTGTGTGTGTGTGTGTGTGTGTGTGTGTGTGGAGGAGGGGTCTAATTGGCTTATAGACTGCTGAGCTGAGTGACCCGACACTCCTCTGTGATCAGGAAGCTCAGGATGTGACAACTGCTTGGCTTTCAGGGCTACATTACTCGTAATATTCCTTCTTTCATGTTTCTTAAAGTGATTAAACTCGCTATCTAAGGACATTAAGACTTCTTGAGGGTCAGAATTGCTGGCATAGCATTGGGTTTTAGTCGTTGCTAATATCCAGCAGTATTCGTGAGCTCGGTTTGCCACCTTAGCACATCAAATGCTTCGGAAAAGAAGGAGCGTAGGTGCACGTCTCTTCAAGGTTCTCTTCATCCACAAACTTTAAAATGTTTTATCAAAACAAAATCAATATAAAAGTTATTATTGACATGTTGTTTCTTTTATTATTTAGAATATCAGAACAGATCACAGTCTTCATTTTATTCATACATACATACTTTCCCAGTTGCTCCATAAGAGACACTTCTGAGACACTTCTGGGCCAAATAAGAGTTTATAAATATGTTTCCATAGTGATGACCACTGATGCAGACATCACCTCAGATGCCCAAACCACCTCCATGTGGAGGAGCTGCTCTTCTCTCAAATTATCTGTAAAGCTGAGCTCAGCCGCCCTGCAGAGGAAACTCATTTTGGCCACATTCTTTCGGTCACCAGTCAGAGCTGATGACGATAGGTGAGGGTTACAGCACAGAATGACTGCTAAATTGGAAGCTTTGCCAGTGCTGAGCTCTCTCTTCACCCCAATAGCCTGATACGAGGCCCGCATTAAAGCTGATGCCGCACCAATCCGACTTTTCATCTCCTGCTCCACGTTCCCAGAGATTCATTGTTTATCTGGCTGTAAATACTAACAGCATGATAAAAATGCGTTCTGGAAATGTGAAAAAAAAAGAACACAAACGTCTCCGCTTTGCTATCACAAGTACTTAGTCAGTAGCCCAGAATAACCCAATATAAACAAAGGCGATGGTTAAAAATCATTCTCTGTTTGAACACATTTAAACCTAATGTCAAGAGAGAGCCTGAGTCCTCACACAGTTCCTTTCCATTTCCATTCAGCGGTGTCACTTTCTTAGTGATGTCGTATATAAATCATTGATAAACTTTAACTCATGAGGACAACTTTGACCTACGGAGCTTACACCTCAGTGCTCCAGTTACGGCTGCATGACTTGGAAACATGTTTAATTCAGCGGCTAAAATGCAACACTGCGCTGCGCGCTTTGAAGATCGGTCCAAAGCCTTTGAAGCTGCTTTCTGAGGGTTTTGATGTTTCTGTGTACAACTGGTTCAAGCTGGAACTTTCATATGCAGCTCACACTGTTGTTGCCAATAGTTTCAAATCAGGCCTCAGATAAAGGATTGATAGAGGAGTCCCTCGGCAGTGAGATGCTCTCGAGGTTCACTGGAGGTTGAGTCTTTCAGAAGCAGAGATGTGGACATGTTACCACTACGTGAATGACTGTGTGAGCAAATAGTTTAGCAACAATATGCTTCAGAGTATTTGTGTGAGGAACTTGGGGATTTCTTCATCTACAGAACCAAATATCACAGAAAGATTCTCACAATCTGCAGAAATCGTGAGACGCTTCAGTCAAACCGTCTCAGGAAATGTGAGAAATGTTGATCGGAATAATTCAGCAAAGAAATTAAATGGGTCTGGCATTGTTTGTGTTTTTTCATGTGTTTAATCACCATCCAGTTGGTTACTAAATGGTTGTGAAAAGACAGCCACATGTCATCTTCACATACACAGACTAGTAACAGACTAGCATTACTAGAACTTCTGCTTTTCTAAGTAGAAAGAACACTTTTAAGCCATTTTCATGTTAATTCTTCATGTCAATATGCTGGACTGTCACAGCCGTCACCTCTCGGCCCTTACTGTCAGCACAGTAAACTGTAGTCTGTTAGCTGAGCAGGATAAGAAGCGTGCTCCATCCTTAGC